GTATATATAGTATAGTATAGTATAGTATATATAGTATATATAGTATATATATAGTATATATATAATAATTATATATGTGTATGTATATATATATAGTAGGAATAATAAGGATAGTGATAATAATAGTAGTAATATGCGTAATAATATTGATAATAATAGGAATAATATATATATGTAGCATATATATAGTATATAGTATATATAGTATAGTATATATAGTATATAGTATAGTATAGTATATATAGTATATAGTATATATAGTATAGTATAGTATATATAGTATATAGTATATATAGTATAGTATAGTATATATAGTATATAGTATATATAGTATAGTATAGTATATATAGTATATAGTATATATAGTATATATAGTATATATAGTATATATATAGTATATATATATAGTATATATATGTGTATGTATATATATATAGTAGGAATAATAAGGATAGTGATAATAATAGTAGTAATATGCGTAATAATATTGATAATAATAGGAATAATATATATATGTAGCATATATATAGTATATAGTATATATAGTATAGTATGTATAGTATATAGTATAGTATAGTATATATAGTATATAGTATATATAGTATAGTATAGTATATATAGTATATATATAGTATATAGTATATATAGTATAGTATAGTATATAGTATATATAGTATATATATAGTATATATATAGTATATATATGTGTATGTATATATATATAATAGGAATAATATATATATGTAGCATATATATAGTATATATAGTATATAGTATAGTATAGTATATATAGTATATAGTATAGTATAGTATATATAGTATATAGTATAGTATAGTATATATAGTATATAGTATAGTATAGTATATATAGTATATAGTATAGTATAGTATATATAGTATATAGAGTAGTAATATGCGTAATAATATTGATAATAATAGGAATAATAAGGATAGTGATAATAAAAGTAGTAATATGCGTAATAATATTGACAATAATAGGATTAATAAGGATAATGACGATAAAAGTAGTA